TGCACGATGATGCATGTTAATACCTGCATTTTATTGTGTTGGTTGTATCATTCTTGGTTGGTGGGAGAGGAGTGAGGGATAGGGTTCGTGTGGTCATTCTGTTATGCCATTCTGCTATATCTTAAAGTTAAGTTTTTCCCGGGTCATAAAAGAAAAAGAAAATAAGTTATTAGTTTTACATTGGGTATGGATTGTTATTGTGTTATTTCTGTTAGGCCATTCCTCTCTGTCTAAAGTTCCATTTTCCCCGGGCGATAAATAATATCTTAGGTAATTGCATAGTGAATCACCTTTTGTTTGAGCTAAGAGCCTTATGTGTGATCTAAAGTGAGCATTTGAAAAATAAAAATATGCTTGATTAAATTGCACATGTAACATATTATGTATCGGTGCATGTAGGTTCAAGACCTCCTCTTAGAATATGGACTTGAAATTGTTGCCCAAACTCTCATAGAAGGTCTCTCCCGTGTCAAGAGGTGTACAGATGAAGGGCGGGCTCTCATGTCGTTGGATCTACAGGTTCTCTCTCAAATTGGACCAGCTATGCATTTCAATATTCCTTTAGCGTTTCTCTCCTTTGCAGCATAATAAATTTCAGGACTCCTTTGTGGGTTTCAGGTTTTGATCAATGGCCTGCAGCATTTTGTGGCCATGAATGTGAAGCCCCATTTACAAATAGTTGAAGCCTTCATTAAGGTAAGCTCAAACGTAGACTACATACGTAACAAGATCTTATGAAAACAAGATTTTGGGAATTTTTGATTTTTTTTTTATAGATAAGCGACTGGAACAATTTAGTGTAAGTGGGGTTTCGCAAACTAACTTTCACTCTTTCTACTCTTGATCAGGCATACTATCTCCCGGAAACTGAATATGTGCACTGGGCATGTGCTCACCCGGTAAGAGATTCATTGCTAGAGACTTACTCTGCCCAGATTTTGGACACGGATTATCGTACATCATGAATACGAACTTACCTTCTCTTCTGCAGGAATACACAAGAAATCAAATCGTTGGGTTGATCAACCTTGTTGCCACAATGAAAAGTTGGAAGAGAAAAACCAGATTGGAGGTGTTAGAAAAGATTGAATGAGTATGCAACTTCGGATACGCGTGGTAGGCTTTTTAATCATATAGAACCTCACACGTTGCTTGTCACTCACTCTTCACTTGATTTTTTTTTCTAATGAGCTATGTATATTTGATTTTTCATCATTATGTGCACAGTAAATGTCGATTTAGGTTGTATATCTTCTCGTGGCTGAGTTTGTAATATATTGTCATCCCTAATAGGGACGATTAAATGTATTTTCGGATCACATGAGTCGTGAAATAATGATATACCAAGAGGAAAAGATACAATTGTAATAACGAGATTATATCAAACTAGTAAAGCTTCGACGCAGTTTTCCGTTACCTTGCTCGAGCAGATGCTCCTGAAATGGTTCCGTAGGATCGCTATTCGTATAAATCTTTGTGTACTGGTTGATGCTGAACGGTTTGATATTGTTAGTGAGTTCAACAAGTGTATGGTAGAAGCCATGGTTCCAAACAACTTTTTGTGTTCCATTTCTTGTTACCTTGGTACCAATCCCTTGGAACTTGCCAATCCTTCCCCCCAAACATAATGTTTAGGCCCGTTTTAGAAGGTAAAAAATGTACTCGCTTATAAAAATATTAGGAAATATTGCCTCCAATGATCTTTTACTGTGTTAGTTATAGTTATGGACATATATTTAGGACCCTTTTAATAATTATTTTGTTTTTAATTTTAAAATTTTTGCTTTTCATGTTTTAAGATACGATGAAAGTATATGGGCACGGGAGGGATGAAGAAGGGGTGATGAGAAAAAGAAAGAATGGACTAATGACACACCCCGATCCTAGAATCAAGACGTGATGGCTAGCACGTCTTGATTCTAGGATCGGGGTGTGTCAGTTTAACCGGGGTGGACCACTTCCCGGGCCCACTCCACCACCGTAGCACGATATTGTCCGATTTGGGCTTACCATTCCCTCACGATTTTGTTTTTGGGAACTCACGAGCAACTTCCCAGTGGGTCACCCAACCTAGGAGTGCACTGGCCTTCATCTCGCTTAACTTCGGAGTTCCCAAAAACAAAACCGTGAGGGAATGGTAAGCCCAAAACGGACAATATCGTGCTACGGTGGTGAAGCGGGCCCGGGAAGTGGTCCATCCTGAGCCGGGATGTGACAACTAAAACAAAATTTTGAAAGTGAAAAAGGCTTAAAATAGTTATTGGTTTTTGTTTTAAGTTTTGATTTCGTGTCCTCCACATATTTTCCATTGTAACTAACACAAAAACTAAAATTCAAAAACCAAAAACAAAATAGTTATCTAATTCGTTAAGTGATTATTAATGTTAGGACAAGTAAACAAAGAAAGGGCAGCTGGTAGATGGGAAAAGAATAAAATTAAAGTTAAATTGTAGCAAAGGTCCCCTAGCTATATTAGGAGTTTAGTTTTCATCCCTGATCTCTACGAATAATTTTTCTCGTCCTTGAATTATGTCATTTGTTGCACTAGTAGCATTTTTTGTTAACTTTTCGGTTAAGTTGAGGGATAAAATAGGAATTTCAACCAAGAAATAAGAAAATAATTTTTTTTAAAGAGAGACTTGGCTCCTCAAGGATTGAGGAACTCCTTAAAATACTTAATGACCTATTTACAGAACTTTGTGCTTATGATCGAAACTCTCTAAGGATTGACTAAATGATCTTAGTTTTAATTGATATTTTGCATAATGATCTTTACATAGCGATTTATAATACGAACGATTCAGATCACATCTACGAAATTCTGAATATGCCATGATTTTGAGGAGGAACTCCTCATTAATCTTAAGGAACCAAGCTCTTCTCCTTTTCAAATAAATTAGATTGTTTTTCCTATATGAAAAGATCATTGTACCCTTAAATTTTACGGAAAAAGAAGACATATTTAACAGAATGACCACTCATACAATGTAGAGTTAACTTGGTGGACGGAAGAAAATCATATGAGAGTTCAATGATAAAAACTAAGTATGAGGTAGAGTTCAAGAAACTTTGTATCACTCATCGTAAAATTAAATATCGTTACCCTAGAATATTTTTATTTACAGCCAAGCAGGTTTTATGTCCACATATCCTAAACCCTACGCGTGGAAATCAAAGCTTTGACAAACTGATGTGTTTTTTGAGGGTTGGAGCACAGCGAAGCCATGTCCATGCAATAATTTGCTCTCTCGTCATCATCTGCACAAATGGGGAGATGGGGATTTGTGGACTACATCTCTCTTAAAAGAAACTATGATAGAAAGGGACAATTTTAATAACCATGATTGCAAAAAATAATATAAACTACGTGGATTCCTTTTTTTTTTTTTGCTTCATGATGAACTATAAATTCTTAAACTTTTTCATGTTTGGACCATAAACAAAAGGGTTTTTATCATAAATAGTTCTTGAGATTGATCAAACTCATCATTTTGGTCTCTCATTTTCAAAATCAATCAATGTCGTCCTTGACATTCACTACCGCACATCAGTTTGGTCCTTCCGTTAAGATTCCGTCACCTATTCTATTAGTTTGTATGAGGAACTCACAAATCAAATGAAATTGTGACACGTAGATTACACAAAATAAGGGTTTTTTTTAATTGAAAATGGTCCTTGATATTGATCAAACTCTTCATTTTCATTTCTGAGTTTCAAAAATCAATAAATTTAGTCCTTGACTTTCAATACCACATGTCAATTTAATCATTCCGTTAAAGTTCCATCAATATTTTTTGTCCCACTAATCCAATCATTTGGCGCCACATGGATCAACTATAAGAATTTTTTTTAAGATTTAAAACTAAAAGTAAAATAAGAAACTAAAAACCAAAATTAAAAGGAAAAAAAAAAGTCATCGTCGTCTTCATCAAGGTATCTCAAAAAAAGAAAAAAAAAACAAAAGAAGGCACCATGGCACCACCAAAGTACTTGGCCCCCTAAACTCACTCCTCATTCTATGTAGGTTTATAATCCTATCAAATTTGAATTCAATTTGAATTCAATTTTATCGAATTTAGATTGAGTTTTTATTATTATTATTATTATTATTATCTTTTGTACAATTGGGATGCGAGAAATGTCAACGCAGAATACTCATTCGTTGTTTCACTCTAAAAAAAAAGTTTCTTATAGTTAATCCAAGTATGATTGGATTAGTGGGACCACATGATCAACATACAAACGAAAAATATTCATGAAATTTTTAAGGACTATTAATGTGAGGTAGTGAAAGTCATGGACCAAATTTATTGATTTTTGAAACTCATGGACCAAAATGAGGAGTTAGATCAATGTTAGGAACCATTTGCGATAAAAATCCTTATTTTGTAATCCACGTGTCACCATTTCATTGGATTTGTGGGTCCCACATACAAACTAACAGAATAGTTGACGGAATCTTAACGGAAGGACCAAATTAATGTGAAATAGTGAATGTCATGGACGACATTGATTGGTTTTGAAAGTGAGAGATTAAAATGATGAGTTTGATCAATCTCAGAGACCAACCCTAAGCAAAAATCAGCCTGATAGGATGGTTCTTGATTTTTGGAATGATTAAAACTAGTTTTTATTCATCTTAATCTCTATAGTTTAGAGCAAACAATCCATAAGAGTGTGAAGTCATCAGCATTCGAGTTATAGAAAACAACTTAACTAACAAAGTGTCTCACTCGTAGCATAATTGTTGGTTTCAAAGTTAAAAAAGGCGTAACACACATTCGTACTAACACATATCTATCTATTGTAAGCATCCAACGGCGGCAAGCTCACAATTTCTCTCTCTCAATTCTCTTTGTGGCATAAAGAGGCAAACAAAAAGCCTGAATCAAATAGTTTGTCGTAACCAGAACAGATTTAAACCCCAACATTATAAGGGTTGGATTCAATTAATAACTAAATAAGAAAGTTAATGCTTAAGCATAAGTGAATTAAATTAGTTAATCAATGTAACGTCTATGTCTTCTCATTCAAATTCAAAACACTCCCCTTATAAATTAGATAAACAGAAAACCGTCCTATCAAAAAAAAAAAAAAAAAAGAACACCTCTGATTGTAATCAAACAACTAATCTTAATTAAAAAAAAACACCAAACTAATCAGAGAAATGTTGGACCATATACCAATTGAAGAATGAAACAATTGCTGCAGCCTCCTACGAACGTAAAAATATCTACCCTGCACACTCTGCAGCTTTTTCCCCTCATTGCATTTTTGTGTCCCGCATGGTTATCGTTTGCTTCTTAACTCTTGCCTCTGTTTGCAGTGTGCCAACACTCTTTCTTTTCTACGTAGAAGCAGCAGCAGCAGGCGATTGAGTGATGTCAGCCACCATGTTTAATGCAATGCATGGCTGATCCACCGGTACCTGTAAATTTTAAAAAATATCAATGAAATCAGTAAATATTATAAAAACGAAACTAGTTACATATTTTTAAATAAAAAATGGAACTAAAACATCAAATTGTTGTTTATATTAATTTAATTAAATATTGTTGTGTATTTTTTCTAAAATATTTAGAATGGAAAAGGTCTCTGAGTTGGTCAGACCTTGTCAGCTTTGTCCACACGAGTGGTGCGGCATATATACACCGGCCGGTCAGACATCTCTTGATTTCATGGACTGTCAGTAGTAATATATTGGTATATTACTTCAAGTAATTGTCACGTCTCGTATGCATGCAATGCAATGCAAGATATATGCATGTCCCACCCTTCTCTAATACCAACCGAAGTTTGACTTCCCTCTAAATTTCCCACTTCGCCCCTCTCTATAATTATCTTGTTTATTTTTTATTTTTTTTTATAAAAAAAAAGTATAAGAGGAAGAAAGAAAAAGAAACCCCTAAATAATACCTATGATTACGAGTGCTGTGTATTTTTGACATTTTTGTTTAATTTTAAATCATAATAAGATTAGTCGCACATAATTTTTATCATATTTGTGAAGTTTGTTTTGAAATTTTTGCAATTAAATATTTAAAAATGAGACAACGATAAAAGTACGGTATTCATTTTTTTTCATATTGTATACAAGTATTGTTTTCGTAAATATATATCTTTTATCGTATGATGCGGCAAATAATAATCAAACAAACGATCAAACAATTATATAATGTAATAAAAAGTGATATGTATTATGGGGTTGTTTTAAAAATCGAAAACTAATGGGGGTCATTTGTTTTGCTTTATTTGGTACTATTTTCTTTCTTTTGTCATGTCACTTATCACGCTCACGTAAGCATCCAAGGTACAAGCTGATATACAAGCTCGGACCAACTTGTCGGGCTTGTTTAAAGTGATTGCATTTAACACGTTCGGTCTCGATCATCCAATCCTAAGGTGAATTCGGGTTTAGCACGAATTTGCTTTTAAAATAGTTAAAAATGTATTTTTGTAAAAATATTTTTGATATTAATCTTTAATAAAAAATAAGTAAATTAAAAAAAAAATATTTGAAATACTTCTTATAAGAAGTATATAATCAGTGCTTTTTGCAAGATAAACTTTAAGTGTTATTGAAATTTATAAACATTTTCTCTAAATATATTTTCAATCATTTTAAAATAATTTTCTAAAGAACCCTTTAATCTTAGAATACCTTTCTCTTAAGTTGAAATCGCAACAAGTGCTTTAAATAGTACACAACATAATAATGAAAGATGAATCTCTGTCTCTCCATCCAATTATTTACGTTCAACATTTTGTAAATTCTAAGTAAATTTTAGAACATTTTTATATTTAAGAAAAACAATTTATACACACCATTCTAATCAGTGACTGAACTAATCAAAGATTCAAAAGAGAATTAGAGGCCGCATTTAGAAAACGTGCCTAAAAGGTGAAAAAAAAAAGGTAGAAAACACTCCTCTATAATTAAGATTCGAAAACAAATTAATCCAAACAATTGGTAGACCAGCATACAGCTAGGGGTTACACTCAAACGCTTAATGCACATGGACAAATGAGTTGCTACATTTATACACCTTAATAAGCTTTCATTAGAGAGAATATTATTGCTTTAAGCAAAAATTTTAACATATTATATACATGTGCAATGTCATATTTTTCACTTAAAACTTTATCCAAAACCATGACAGGATTATGAAGATGACATCTTAACTATAGCAAAACTTTCTCCAAAACCATGACAGGATTATGAAGATGACATCTTAACTATAGCATAGGGCTTTGGGTTTCCACTTATGTGTCTCGAGTTAAAAATTCCTCCTCTCTTAAATTATTATAATAATTTTGAACTCTTCCAGCTACCTCTTAATAATAATAATTTTTTTTTTATAAAAAAATTACGTTTTTAACATTCCAATAATGTATTGGCTATAGATATGCATCTCATATTTTATATAGATCTAGAAATCAAATCTCAATTTTACTCATCTTAAGTCGACGCTTGGACAATATTTCGTTGTAGTAGTTTAATTCTGTGTATATAATAGCAGTGTTCGCAAAAAGTTTAACACAAAATGGTGATTTTTTTTTGGACAACCAGTAGTGGTGGTTTACTTCTTAAAAAATAGTATTATTAGCACTTTGCATGAATGCATCCACAGGACAGTACAAAAGCACATTGTTACCCCCTTCCAAAATAGTGATGTTGATTTCTTTGTATATTTTCTTTCATTTTCCTAAATTGAGCAAGTGTGTTACATAACATGAATATAATATTATGATAGGGTCCCATGCTAATAAAATAAAAACATGTGTAACTTTTTGTTCAAATTTTTTTATTTTACTTACACGAGCTGCCACATAACAGTATGCCGTCATAAAATTGTATATTTGTGTTACGTAAGTTGCATTATTATTATGATCATAATAAGTAGAGAGTGACAAGACATGACATTGATATGACATTGAAAAAGAAGTAATTACTGTGTGCTGGGGGAGGAAAGTTTTGACTTACAAAATGTCCTGCTCCAAGAATCCAATAGAAGTGCAGGTTTTTGTACGACCTGGTGAATCCTCTTGTAAATCCTTCTTTGCCACAATAAAGAGGGGCTCTACTCTTGTTCAAGAAATTTGGGAGTCCTTCCCACCTGAAAAACAGAATGGATAAAACCACCCACATGAGAGAGAGAGAGAGAGAGAGAGAGAGAGAGAGAGAGAGAGAGAGAGAGAGAGAGAGAGTGAGAGAGAGAGTTTACTTGAGCTTTTCGACCCATGCTTCAGTCCCCTTGGTTGCACATATGAGATCAACCTACAACAATTACCAACCAAATAATGTCAAACCTAGCTAGTTTGCAAAAATTTAATGGTGTCCAATTCTTAATTATAATTAATTTTAAATAGGTGGTGATTTTTGTTTTTGGTGTAAAAATCAATAAGCGAAGAGAAATATTATCAGAATCTAATACGAAGTGATTAGGCAATTTTTTAAGTTGAATGTGCAACTACTGGTGCTAACACATTTCTTAATTCTAGAACGGATCTATCAATTTTCGATTGGCTATTCCTAATTTTTATAAATAAAATAAAACTGTTGGCTATTGCTGTTTAAAATGAAAGCAATGTTGAGAAAAACTTACTTGCCCATTGTATATTGTGACATTGATCCCTTTAGCAAGGAGTTCATCAACCTAAGTGGAGAGAAAAGGGAATTAAAGAAAAATTAAAAGTTGGCACAAGATTCTTTCAAGACAAGGAAGAAATATCGTAGAGCAAAGACAAATTCAATTTCCTTGCAGATAAAATACTTAATTAAGCAAAAGTTAGCTCATTAAAAAGAATAATTAGAAGAAGAGACTTTGATTTCTCCATTCGATGCCTACAAGACAAAATATTTAATATTAATGAGTAAACTTGATATAAATTTAATTTGTGAGTTATTATTTTCGTGGATGATAGGTAGATTAATTTTATTTATTTTCGTAGACACCTTTATAACATGTTAAATGTATTTTATCAACATATGGTATATGTATCATATATGATGGCATATAAATTTTCTTTTAACTATTTTCTATGGAAGTATTTAGATTTTGGTATTTAAATATTTAAATTAAAAACTTGAGTAAAGATGCATACATGAAGAAATTTAATTATAATTGAAAAAATATAGAAACTGGACTAAATCCAACACCTCAAATTTTTGGACCTGAACCAAAGTACCCCATAATTATTTATGGCCATGTTTGCGTAGAAGTCACTATACGAAGAAAATGACACTCTAACAAAGCAACTCATATATTTTGTTTCACTTCAACAAAAATAATAAAATTTCAAAATAAAGTATACTGGCTTTCCCTACTAAAAATAATTCAGTGAATTTCTATAATGCACCAATCACTATAATATTTTCTTGTAACATTAACCTTTCTTTCTTTTATCTAAATTATAAAATAAAAAATTAATTCGAACTAAGTATTGAGAGATTACTAAACATTAATCGAAGTGTACGCTACAACTATATCATAATATAAGTAATATTATAGTTTGCTCTTCTGGATTTGGAAAAATTATTACCTCATTAATCCTTGGTTTCATAAAATCGCCTGTTAGGGCTGAGAACACGTAATCAGACTGCCCTCCCCATCTGCAAACCCAAAAAATATGCACCGTTGGTGGATTACATCATATTGACCAAGCATTCCTAACTGTAAAAATTATATTTGCAACTGAGAACGTATTTAAACAACAGAATGAAAAGGATATATACTCACGTCACATCATCGGGGATTATCTTAAGCTTCTTTTTTATGGCACCGTTTAACAAAGAATCAAGATCACCATTACCACCACCTGCTGAAGACCTTAAAGAACTCAGGTATCTTGAATATTTTTTAACGTAAATTCCTTTGTTATATTGAATTGTTGCCAAGGATGAAACTGGATCCATTCCTGAATCCAACAGAAAATTATAGAAATCCTGCAAATGCCACAAATCCAATAAATAATTTAAATAAAAAAATTGTGAGTTTTAATTGAATTTCAGTCACAAATAATTACTAAATTAATACGAAAATTAAAAAACAACTACCACAGCATTGCTGTTAGACATGATGACTTGCTCAAGTTCACCCCAAGAATTGGTTGCGTCCACCAACTGACCATCCTGAATCTGTTGCTTTATTCTCTGAGCCATATTATTTGATTTCTGCAATCCAATGTCGTCAAGCCTTGACACGTCTTTGAGCAGAGGACCCCATGAAAGCTGCAATGTACACAAAATTAAATTATCAATAACTAAATGTAATTAAACATAAATGAAAATTATCACTAGCATTATGGTTTAGTAGTATAATCTTTTAGTGAAATTTTAAGGTGACTTTCATGAATTACGAGATTGATACAAATTGAATGTTGCTGTATTATGTGACCTAATCTAAGAACCCTACTCCCAACATGGTTGTATATGAAAAACAATATAGACTAAACTAAATTTGAAAGTTAAACTGTAAAAATCTGCATGATACGGGAAAGACAATTATTGAGTCAAAAGCAGTTAGAACTATGGTAGCTTACCACAAAATCTTCCGGGGAGATCCAACTGTCTCCCAATGCCACTCCTGCAAGAAAAATATACATTTTAAGATGATGGTATTTTTAGTTAGACCAATATTTTTAATTAAAACTTGATTAATTTAGTTTTAATTACCTCCAAGTCTAAGTTTTAGCTTTCCTTGTTGAATGGCTTTGAGAGCTGAAAGTCCAAGAGTGACTGCAAATTTGCCTCCATAGGACTCTGCCACAATGAACAGAGGACTCTTTTGGAGGCTCTCATTTCTATTGAAAACCTCCACCAGCAATGTGGTCAAATCAGCAGCTGCCTCCAAATCATTTTTCACAAACAGAGACGTATCCTCCACAAAACTGTATCCAGTCCCAACTGGGTTGTCCTGAATTATCACAAAAAATCAAAAGAAATTTAAATTCATATAACTTAATAGAACCCAAAAAAAGAAAACAGAGTTTTGAGTACTTTTTGGGGAACTTACAACAAATAAAAGATCTGCTTTTTGCAACCAGGTTGAGTTTCTTGGGTTCAAATTCGTGTCCAATGGACCAACCTCTTCAAAATTCCCAATCCCTACTCCTGAACCTCCCTATTTTTTGGAAAAATAATCAATGAAAACAATGTAAAATAAAATATCTGGTTTGTTCATAATTTTTTATTTGAGGTAGTTTGGTAATACTCACAGGTCCACCCTGAAGCCAGAGAATGGTTGGCCATGGCTTGGAGGGATCCTCAACTCTGTTGGGACTTCTGTAGAGCCACCAGAACATATGGGCTTCTGTGTAAGAACAATACCAAAACAAAAAGGTGAACAAAAGTTCCATGAGCATTAACATTTCTGCTTCATTACAGAAAGAATATATATATGTGTGTGTGTGTGAGTGAATTGCTTACTGGGTCTGACTTCAACATATCCCCACTCCTCTGATCCATCTATGGTTCCTGCAGCAGCTGCTGTTGTTGCAGTTCCTCCATGAAAAAGTGGAATAAAAAGGAGAAGAGAGACAGCAAGAATTACAGAGAGATTTTCCATTGTGAGACCAAAGAGAGAGAGACAGAGAGGGAGAGAGGGAGAGAGGGACAGCAAGTTCTTAACCTGCTGGGAAATAAAACATGCAGTAAAAGGAGGTTTTATATGTAGAGAGACTACTGAGGATGCTTAATTTGTCTCTGTCTAACACAAAATAACATACAGAGGTAAAAAAAAAATAAGGAGAAAATAACAAAGAGAGGAAAAAAAATAAGTAGTCGGATATTGTTTCTATCATTATATAATAACTTTCAGAATTTATTTAGAAACGGTGGAGCAGTAAAATCAAAGAAAATATTTTGTTATTTAATTTCTTGTTATAGCAAGTGCACTCGTTGCATGTATTCTCTGGCTCTTAATATATACATGGTGTATAAAAGAGAGATTTTTTAATGTGCTGAACACTCTATACATATTAGCTAACAAAAAAACTTCACAAATTCTTAAAAATTTAAATTCAGTTGATCATTTTAGAAGTACTCATAGAAACTCCTCGTTTAAACAAAACCCAAAACCCAAATCCCATGTATTCTTATTTATTATTTCTTTCTTAATTTATAAGAAGAAACTCTTTTTGTGGAAACACGTTTTGCTCACGAATGACCATTTTTTCATTATGTTGAATACTTTTTTTTTTGAATGACCATATTTTCATAGGGCATAATTCGACGGTGAAATCCATGTATAGCTGGGGTTCTTGCACAAGGTTATATATATATATAGATGAACAGCTTCCCCAACGTTGCAAATGAACTTACAGCCAAAACATTTAACTTGGCTTGTAGCTGAAGATTGTTGGATGATTGACATGTTTAAAACACATAGGAAGTCTCAATCTAATTGACATCTAGCTTGGAAACCATTGTGCCAAGTTTTATTGTTCTTAACAATGTCAACCGAACAAATTAAAAATAACGAAAGATGGACAACAATTGTTTAAAACAATTTCAAAACGGAACTGTTTATTGGCACTTTAAAAACTTGTTTTACATGTATAGAAAATGCATGATAACCTTTTATTAGAGTGAACAACAATAAATCTATTTATTGGATTATGTACATTGTTTCACACACACACATATAGAGGTTATGTTATAGGTAGTACAGTCGCATGCATGTGAGGCCATCCTATAAGCTCATCCTACTTTTAGTGGCCTCTCAGGCAACAATGCTTCTGAATAATTTCTTGCCAAAGAAAAGAACCGAGAAAATTGCATGAGATATATTAAATTTCTGAAATAGAAATCCTGCCTGGACAAGTTTTACTGTCACGGCTAGTTTCCACTCGAAGAATGTGTGGTGAAACATCACTGGTACAACAACCACAGAAATTGGGCTTAGAAAAATCGACCTTAATGAATACTATTTTAGGTGAATGGAGCTATCATGGACATTCAGGTTGCCCTCAATACAAAAATGAAGGGAGAAATGAACAAAATTTGGGTGCCTTATCCGGAAAGTTACTTCCATATAAGATTTCTGAGGGAGAATCGATATGAATAACCTACAGGCTAAGCAAAGATATTCAGCATTTCTGGCCAACTCATTGCCCATACGTTTTATCGAATGTGTCATGCATATAAAATTGTTGTATATGTGTTGGTTATACATGTAACCTTCCTTTACAACACCGATGTACGTGGAAATCTATCATTTTATAGTGGAATTCACGTGTATGTTGTGATCAAAGAAAAAAAACGAATTATATGTAACAGATGGATACTCATTATGAAACAATTTTAATGATGGAGGGTGTTTAATTTTTGAGGATTTCTCTTGAATGGGAATGCTAAGCGAATTATTGATAGAAATTTCTACAATATGGATGTTTGTGATATGGAATTTTTGGTGGACTCTACCGTTTTAGCTGTCCACGCAAGGGACACATGATGTGAAGTGAACTATGATGAGCTTCTAGCAAGCAACATGCATATATAATTTGCATTATCTCTCTCTCTCTCTCTCTCTCTCTCTCTCTCTCTCTCTCTCTCTGCAGGCCCATCAGATCATCATACAGAATGACGGAGAATTATAGGATAGACACAACAACCTTGAAGGTGGATAAGATTTTAACTATATATAGGCATGATTATTGTATATTAGTTAGATTCTCTCATGTGCTCAACTCATGTGGTTCATTCGTTAGCTATAACAATCGGATAAAAAAAATATCATTAGACCAACTTCGAAGGGTAGTAATTTCTACATTCCTCGGTTTACTTCTTACACTTTTTAAGTTTTAACTGTTTTTATGAAGAGCTAAAACTTTGCGTTGAGTTGACGGTAAGACTTCCAACTTCAATGATAAAAAATTTGTCTTAATAAGAGTTAGATTCTTACTTTTGTTTGTTGGTGACTTTAAGTTGATTTAAAGTAGTCACTTAGTAATATGGGAGGTCTTAGGTTCAAATCTTTTGGATGACAAGTTCTAACTAATTTATTCGAAAACCGTTTAAGTGTAAATTTATTATTTTGTTGGTGCTTATGCAATTCTTAAATTTTCCAGCAGGCAGCAACACATTACATAATTGTTCCTAGGTTTAATACAACTGTCTAACTGGCCAAATAGCTGCAGAAGAATTAAATAAAAAAAGATGGTTGAATGCAATTTTCATTTGGATATTGATATTCACACAATCATTTTTACCTCTCACACACCCTTGTTAATTTTTGGCCATTGACCTTTTTCAATTCATTAAATTCGACGGCCGAAAATCAAGAGAGTTGTGTGAGAAGTAAAAATAAGTGTGTGGATAGCACTACCATTTTCATTTCTTTACTTCCCTATAGTTTTAAAGTTTTGTTTATTTCCTGTGTGGGCTTTAACTTGAAGGCATTTTTCGGGCCATAGCTTTGTGAGGGCTTGGGTAAGGCCGCTGTAAACGAAAGCAAGATTTTTCAAGCCCAGCCATCGACTCCGAGCATCCTATTACCATATCTACCGCACTGATGCAGGCTTAGTGAATTATTGAGTTGTTTCCTAGAAAAAAGGAAAGAAAAAGAATCAAGTACTAAAACATTCAAAACAGGTACTTAGCTTTTTTAAACATTCAAAATAGGTATTCAACCTATTGAACATGTCATATCCGTTAAGCTCTAATTAAATTTTTGTTAATTAACTAAGCTTTCTTCGTCTCCAACATTAATAGAAGGTCATGGAAGTATAGGCTCCACCAAATAATGGCCACCACCACCCCCTTCAGCCATCACCTCCAATCCAACTCACAATCACAAATCCACCCTACAACTCAAGCCGCCAACATCAAGAAGGTCATGGGGGTTGTTGAAATGCTATGGACAACCATGATGCGACCACCACCATCTTCATCGCCCACAAAGAAGAACTAGAAGCTTTCCTGGCCGAAAATCGACGAATGAGACAATCACATGAGCATAAATGAGCTCCTTGAAACTCTATCTGAATTCTTAATCCTTTCTTTTGTTAGGAGATTTTCTGATCTTCATTTTTGTTTTCCATTTTATTCGTGAATTTGTTTATTTTTTCTATTTTTTCATCTTCATTTCTTTTTTGAAGTTATATTTATTATTATTTTAATATCCAAGTAAGCAAATAAGTGGGATCCATTGTTGCCACTTGTACATGTAACAGAAAAATTAACTACGACTTAATGGATGTGACATTTTAGGTTGGGTATTTGTTTGGAATGTTTAAAAAGGTTGAGACTAATTTGGAATGACACTAAAAGGTTGGAGGACTTTGGGCTTAATCCAAATATAAAATAATGTGGATTATCAGGCTATTCCAAGTTCGTCTTCAGTCTTCACTTCTACCCATTTTACGTAACTTAGTTGTTCACTCAAAACATTGACCATGAGGTAATGAAAGAACCTTGGCCCAACGGAGTTTATTATTTTGTCGAACAATCACTTAATATAGAAGCTAGACTCATCATTTAATACTACGATCTAATAGTATTCTTCTTCACTTGTAAGTTAGATGTTTTAGGTTCAAAATTGCCAAATATGAATTCAAACCAAATTAATGGCTAGCCTCAGAGGTGCAAGTTTGGGCGAGGCTGGGCAGAGGCTAGACGAGCGTGTCTGAGGAACGCTGAAATTTAAGAATGTTTTGTTACAAAGCCGACGACGTGCCGAGGAAGAAGATTTCAAGATGGTAACATGTATCTTTAACTGTCACATCTTAGTCTCGACTCCACCGTAGCACGATATTGTCCGCTTTGGGCCTCGGCCATGCCCTCACGGTTTTATTTCTAAGAACTCACACGAGAACTTCCCAGTGGGTCACCCATGATGGGGAATGCTCTCGCCCGAACTTGCTTAACTTCGGAGTTCCGATAGAACCCGAAGCCAGTGAGTTCTCAAAAAGCCTCGTGCTATATGGATGTGGGCATGTACATATAAGGCACATCACCTCCTCTCTATTGGTCAATGTGAGATGTTACAATCCACCCCCCTTAGACCAATTCCAATGGTTGGGCTAAAAGCCAAATTTTTGGCCCGGAATCATTAAAGAAAGAACTTAGGCTATTTGTTTTCTTAAATTAAATTTAAAAAAAAATGTAGACTATCGTAAATTAATTTTATGAACATTTTAATCTAAAAATATTTAAATTCCGATAAATATTGAAAAATCACTAAATTTTCAACAAATACATAGGTATTTATATAGTTTTTGGATGAATTTTGAGTTAGATAATTTTTTTTAATTATTTTAGCCAATAGATTTAAATTTGGGCCATTAGATATTTGTTTTACCATTGGATTTGATTATATTCAATCTGTCATTGGATTCAATAATATATAAATATAAAATAATTTTTTTTTTGAATCTAGGCCGTTGGATTAACCAACAGCCTGATGATCACAGCCGTTTAATCGAAAGAGCCGTTGGAGCTTTGGGGAACGTGGCCGATAGGCCCACGTGGGTGGGTCTTAGCCGGTCGAAAGGAGCGCGCGTTAGGCGAGTCCACAGGCTGGGTTTGGAGCCTAAACGCTGAAAACCACTTTCTTTGATGGGGCCCACTCTGATTTTGGGCGGTTTCTGGCCTTACTTCTCCTTTTAGCATCTAGCCCACATTTTCCCTTGGGTTGGAGTGAGTGTGGGGGGAAATTTGGGGGGGGGGGGAATTTAGCATTTAGCCCACCATGGTGGTCTTAGGGGCCCGATGTCCTTGTCGGCACACTCGCACCACATAGCAGAGTGGCTCTGATTCCATTATGTCACATCCCATTCTCGACTCCGCAGTAGCACGATATTGTTCGCTTTGGGCCCTGGCCACACCCTCACGGTTTTGTTTCTGGGAACTCAGACGAGAACTTCCTAGTAGGCCACTCATCTTGGTACTACTCTTGCCCGAACTCGCTTAACTTCGGAGTTTCGATGGAACCCGAAGCCAGTGAGTTCCCAAAAGGCCTCGTGCTATATGGAGGTGGGCATGTACATATAAGGCACATCACCCATTCTCCGTTGGTTGATATGGGATGTTACATTAACTAACACCCGTATCCTTATTTTTCTATTAACCAATCTTCTGATTTGTTTTTTAAATTAT